ACAAGTACTTCTGTTGAGTGGACTAGGGAAGCTTTCTGTCCTACTGTTAAGAAATACCTAGAGGACAAAGGTTTACCACTGAACACTCTCCTCATTATGGTCAATGCTTCTGCTCACCCTCAAGATTTGGAAGAATTGGCTGAAAAATTCCCATGGCTCTCAGTCGAGTTCCTTCCGCCTAATACAAGTCCTCTACTGCAGCCTATGAAACACCAAGTTATAGCTAACTTTAAGAAGCTATACACCAAGGAACTGTTCCTGAAGTGCTTCCAGATTATCTCAGATACAGATTTAATCCTTTAAGAGTTCTGGAAGGAACATTACAACCAGGATCTCTTTAAGGACACTGAAATCTGCCTGGAAGAAGTATGCCCTAAAATTATACAGGAGAGAGACTTTGAAGGCTATGTAGGGGAGCCTAAGTCTTCAACTGACCCCATGGTTAATGATACTGTCATGATGATATTGTCACTATAGCAGAGTTCACAGGCTTGAAGGTAAACAGGGGTGATGTTGAAGAACTGGCAAAGGAACACTCAGGAATTGTGAGGAACTTCAACAACTTCTGGCTGAACAACAGAGAATGGCAGCTGAGGAGCTTTCTGAGGAGGAGGGGAAGTATCAACAATCAGTGCAGCAAAGTTCTTCTGAAATAAAAGGAAATTCTGAAAAAATGGACAGAGATACAAACATTTGTAGAGAAGACCAACCTAGACAGAGAAAAAGCCAATCACTGCATTCATTCACTTGATTAATGACAAGGTCATGCCATTTTCCAGAACAGTTTTAGAGAAGAGACAGAAACAGACAACCTTAGACCAGTTTAGTTCTGAAGAGACCTACTGAGCCAGAAGCAGGTCCCAGAAGGGTCACAGATTTTCCCAAGGAGAGAAAGAACACCAGAGAGCCGGATTCTTGATGTTCTTATGAAAGGGGACTAACCTTCCAAACAATAACCAACTTCCATTTCATCCTCCCTTCCTGCAAGCCAAAGATGTCAACCTGCGTGATGAGTACAGTATGAAATCGTTGTTTCTGGTAAACTAGGCACATTTTATAACTTTTTGGTGAATACACTAGGAAAATTATTGGTGCTTCTGGTAAACTATGCACATTATATAAACCTTTTTATTATGAAAAAGTTAAGGGGTGCTTTGGGAGGTTGGAACACATTATGGGTATTTCCATTATTTCGTAGGAAAAAGTCTTGACTTAAACAAACTTGAGTTACAAATGGCCTTTGCAAATGAATTTAGTTCATTAGTTAATGGTCCATTGCATAAAAAAAAAAAAGAATCCAAATCCAAGGCTAATACAAGGAAAGAAATTGTAAAGATTAGAGCAGAAATGTTTAGACTAAAAAAAAATTACAAAGAAATGAATAAAGAGGTGGTTCAAAACAGACACCCAAATCAATGTAATTAGAAAGGAAAATGGTGAGATCACAACAGACACCACAGAAATTCAGAAAATTAGTAACTACTTTGAAAACCTATTCCTGTACTCCAATGAATTGAAAGAAATGGGTAATTTCCTAGATATAGATGAATTACCAAAACTGAACCAAGACATAACCCTGAATAACCCAATAACAGGCAATTAAATTGAGACAGTAATTAAGAGGAAAAAACCTCCAACTAAGAAAAAGCCCAGTACCCGATAGATTCACCACTGAATTCTATAACTTCAAGGAAGATTTAATGCAATAGTAATGAAAAGTGAAAGAAAGTAATGAATGTGAAAGAGAAAGAGTAATGCCAAACTCATTCCTGGATGCCAGCATTGCCTTGATTCCAAAACCAGACAAAGACTCAACTAAAAAAGACAACTATAAGCTAATCTCTTTAATGAACATAGATTGAAATGACCCTCAACAAGATATTGGCAAACAATGCAACAAATCATTAAGATCATACATCATGATGCAGTTTAGATGTTTTACCAAGGATGCAAGGACAGCTTAACAAAAGCAAATCAACACATGTAATACATAACATAAATTACATAGGACAAAAATTACATGATCATCAAAATAGACATGGAAAAAGCTTTTCACAAAATCCAACATCAGTTCATCATAATAAAAACCCTGAATAAAATAGCTATAGAATGACCTTATTTCAATCTGATCAAAGCCATTTACTACAAACCTACTTCCAACATCATATTAAATGGGGAAAAAACAAAAACTTTTCATTTAAAAAGAGGAACAAGACCACCATTCCTGTTCGATACGTTATCTGAAACTTTACCCAGACCAATCAGGTAAGAGAATGAAATAAAAGGGATATGTTTATCCTTAATAGATGACATGCTCCTTTCACACAGAAGCCTAAAAAAACTCCACCAGAAGACTCCTAGGACTAATCAGTTCAACAAGGTAGCAAGATACAAAATCAGCACAAAAAAATCAATATCATTCCTGTACATCAATAACGAACGCACTGAGAAAGAAATTAGGAAGTCAATACCGTCCACAACAGCTTCAAGAAAAATTCAATACAATACAATATATAGGAATTAACTTAACACAAAAGAAGTGAAAGGCTTCTGCGATGAAATTTATAGTATTCTGAAAAATGATATTGAAGAGGACACCAGAAGATGGAGGGCCAGGGATTTATTAGCTCAGTGGTGCTGATGCCTGCCTTGCAAGCACAAGGTCCTGAGTTCAATTCCTGGTACCAAAAAAAAGAAAGAAAATGGAAAGATATATCTCATTCCTGGATAGGCAGAACCAATACAGTGGTACCTCAGTTCACGATCTTAATTCTTTCCACAAGTCTAGGTATAAGCCAAACTGGGAGGGAACTGAAACAAATTTCCCAAAAAGGTCAACATTGAATCTAACCAATGAATTTGATTCAGTTCTCATCCAACACGGTTTGCAACCAAAATTGTGGAAAGAATCAAGTTTGTGAACCAAAGTGTGACTGTATTGTCAAAACGGCCATACTTCTAAAACTGATACAGATTTAATACAATTCCAATCAAAATACTAACAGCATTCCTCACAGAACTAGAGAAAACAATCCTACAATTCATAAGGAACCAAAAGACACCCAGAATAGCAAAAGCAATCCTGAGCAACAAGAGTAAAGCAGGAAACAGTACAATCCCAGATTTCAAATTACTGTATATTACAAAGCTAAAGTGATAACAGCATGGTACTGGCACAGAGACTGGCATGGGGGTCAATGAAACAGAACAGAGGATATAGCAACCCATAATCAGTCATCTGATCTTTGACAAAGGGGCCAAAAAACATACACGGGAGGAAAGACAGCCTCTTTAACAAATAATGCCAGAAAAACTGGCTATATGAATGTTGAAGATTGAATCTAGGCCCGTGTCTCTCACCATGCACTAAACTAAAATAAAAATGGATCAAAGATCTAAGTATTAAAAACAGAAACAATCTGCTGGAATATAAAATAGGTAAAACTTTTGGAAGACGTAGGTGTAGGCAATGACTTTTTGAGCAGAATCTCAACTGCACAAAAACTAGCATCAAGAATTAACAAAGGGGATTACATTAAATTTAACAGCTTCTGCACAGCAAAGGAAACAGCCAACACAATAAAGAGACAACATACAGGATGGGAATTTTTTTTTTTTTGGTACCCGGGATCAAACTCAGGTCCTTGCACTTGCGGGGCACGTGGCAGCACCACTGAGCTAAATCCCCAGCCCCAGAATGGGAATTCTTTTGCCAGCTACTCCTCTAACAGAGGAGTGATATCTTGAATATATAAGAAACGTTTTAAAAAATTACTGTAACCCCCCCTCCCAAAATAAAAGACCCAATCAAAAAATGGGCAACTGAAATGAATAGACGTCTCAGATGTAGCAATGCCCAATAAATACATGAAACAATGTTCAACAAAGTACCCTGGGATTCTATCTTACTCCAGAAAGAATGGCTACAATCAAGAAATCAATAACAAATGAGGACAAAGCTGCAGGGGTGGGAGGGTAATTCTACAATACTGACAGAAATGTAAACTCATACAACCACAATGGAAATCAGTATGGAGAGTCCTCAAATAACTAAAACTAGAACTTCCATTCAACCCACCTATTCACCTTCTAGGTATTGTCCCAAAAGAGTCCAAAAAAGATAACACATTACAGTGACACACGCACACCCATGTTTATAGCAGCACAACTCATAATAGCTAAATCTTGGAAGTGGCCAATATGTCCACCAACAGATTAATGAATTAAAAAAATGGCATTTATACGTAACGGAGTACTGTTCTGCCATAAAGAAGTCATTTGTGGAAAAATGGATGCACCTTGAGACCATAATGTTAAGTGAAATAAATCAGACCCACAACTTTAAGTATCATGTGGTTTCTCTTACATGAGAAACCTGAAATATAAATAAAGGTGCAAAATGAAAGATGATAGGAAGCAGGGAGATAGAGGTTTTTTCAAATGGGGAGGGGATCAAGAGATAGAGGGAGAGGGCTGGGAATTTAGCTCAGTGGTTCCACTGCCTGCCCCGCAAGCCCAAGATCCTGAGTTTGATCACTGGTACCAAAAAAAAAAAAAAAAGAGGGAGAGAAGAGAGAAGGGTGGGTAAGGGAACATAAAAAGAATTAAGATGTGTTATATACATATATCAGCTCTCCACGATGAATGTAACCATTATGTACTACAAGAATAGTAATTAAAAAACAAAAAGATAATGGTATGAACCTAGCTAATTATATATCTAGAAATACAGGCAACTTACTATTGTTAGTATTAGATTACGAGGAAAGTGAATGGACATAACCATCTTCCTAAAACTGTAACTCAGATGATAACAAAACAAGCCAATAAAAATAGTTAACTCTTACTTTTAGAAAGAATCAAAGAGATGTTCCTCACACAGAACATGTCCATAACGATACATATTTCTACAATACAGTGTCAAAATAGTATTTTCTAATGTATGCAGTAGCACACTTATTTCTAATAAAATTCATCTATCTAAAGAAAGAAATCATTACCTGATTTGTAGGTATTTTCGGCACATTCACCTTCCACATCTGGGCTTCCCTAGAGATTGCCTTTTCTAATAAGAAAGACAATCTCTGGTTTTCCAAAGGTCCTGGAAACTTCATGATATCCTTTGGATCTGCCTGCCACCCACCTTGATGTAACTACCTATAAAATCAAATATAAATAATGCTCATTATTTAATTACAGAATAACTACAATATATATACATGCTGGTGCTTATTAAGCACTTCATAAAGAAAAATAAGAATATTAAGGCAATATAAGATTTTACAACTCTTTAAAACATACTAAAGTGTTGGGCCGGGGATTTAGCTCAGTGGTTCTGCTGCCTGCCTTGCAAGTGCAAGGTCCTGAGTTCGATCCCCAGTACCAAAAAAAAACCTCCACCTAAAATATATTAACATGTTAATAATAATAATCAGTTATCTAAAACATTCTCGCTTTAAATCTGAAATTGTCATAAAGAACAAAAACAAAGCCATGTAATAGAACCTCTGAACTCTGATCAAAACGTTATTACCATATAAAACTGGCAATAATTTTTAAGTTACTGGCTTTTTAATACTAGGAATTTTTAGAAATTGTTGTCCCAAACATTCCTAAAAAGCAGAGCTATTTTTTTCATTTAAAAAGTTGCATCAATTACATTAAATCCAATCCATTCCCACTTCTTCACAATGAAACAATCAAACTGTGCTTCAGGTCTGGGGATGTAGCTCAGTGGTACAGCGTATGTACAAGGACCCTGGGTTTAACCCCCAGCACCAGAGCAGGGAAATTTTGTGTTCACATGCGGCTATTTAAATTTGAACTGAATAGTTAAGAACAGACCACCTGAACCTCTACCTCAATAATATGGCTAATGGATACTACACTGCACACCGTAGAAAAGGAACATTTCTATCAATGCATAAAGTTCTACTGGACAGCATTTGATCTAGAAAGCTCAACAACAGAGTTACTGGTGCTCTAAAGCAAGTCTAGGTCATGGCAGGGCAACTGACTTCAAGAGAGATGTTTTCAGGTTTTAAAAAAAAAAACCTATGGATTTGAGAGGCTTGACTGTGCTGAGGAATATGAGAAGAGTTTACAGCTTCTGTTGCTGTTTTGGTTTTTGAGACAGGGTCTCACTATGTGGTTCAGGCTGACCTTGAATTTACTGTGTAGCCCAGGCAGGTGGCTAGCCTTCTGCCTCAGCCTACAGTGCTTATAGGTGTGTGCCATCATGCCCAGCTTCAACTAAAACTTTTTAGACTTTCTCAGGTTCATTGTGAGGCCAATTCCATCTGTCCCTACCCTGCCTTACTCTGTGTGTGTGTGTGTGTGTGTGTGTGTGTGTGTGTGTGTGCGCGCATGCGTGTGAAAAGAGAATCTTTGAGGGAGGTATACATCCTTGTTTAGAATCAAGGGTATTCTTTCTTTTAAAAAAAAAGTTATTAGATTCCATCTACCATTGCATTTTGCCAAGATTTCTGATATTCCAATTTTGTGGCTCAGTACTTGTCTCTCAGCTCTTCCACAATATGATGGGCTGGCTCACTGTAACTTTTTCTAAAGTAATCATAAATATTAACCTTAGAACTGTAGTGTAAACACTAGATGACCATCTGTCAAGAGATATTTAGAAGAATGCTACTATTAAATGAAGATTGGACTTCGTAGGTGCTAAGATTTCTTCACAGCCTAATTTTAGTTTGTAATGTATGAACTCTTGTCAAAAACTTCAAACTTCAGTAATTTTTCTGAAATGCCATTAGCTATCCCAAACAAAGTGGTTCACCAGGATTCAGCTTTCTCAACATGACCCAACAATTAACTGGCTGGCACCAAGGACTATTTTCCCCTCATAAGACTTCTGAGTCTTACATTTAGGAAGTACAGATGAGGACAGAGCAAGACATCTACGACAGAATCCTATAAACAGGAAAACACTGAGTTAAGGGATTCCTATTTTCCAGTTCCCTACAGTTAAGCCCCTTAGTTAAGATTCCAAATATTTAGATGCTCTAACAACTTCAATTTTTTAAAAAAGAAATCTGGTCAAGGGCCAGGGATTTAGTTCAGTGGTTCTGCTGCCTGCCTTGAAAGCACAAGTTTCCGAGTTCAATCCCCAGTACCAAAAAAAAAGAAATCTGGTCAAAGTAAAAAATTTCAAGAGAAAATATTTTTAGATGAAGAAAAAAATATAACATACCAAAATTTACTGGCTGCAACAAAAGACGTACTTAGAAGGAAACTGATACCTAAAAATGCCTATTTTAAAAAAGATCTCACATCAACAGTGTAACCTTTCACTTAGTGTGGTGGCACACGCCTGTAATCTCAGCACTTGAGAGCCTGAAGCAGGAGGATTCCAACTAGTTCGTGGTCAGCCTGGGCTACACAGTGACTTCAAGGCCAGCCTGAATTATACAGCGAGGCAGTGTCTTTAAAAAAAAAAAAAAAAAAAAAGGCAATGAAACAAGAGGAGCAAACTACAAAGCAAGTCAGACGCAAATATTAGAGTAGATATTAATAGAGAATGTTTTGTTGTTTATATAAATATTTTTATTGATGGGTGGTATTCTATTATATGGATGTAACAAAATCTGTATAAGTAGAGAATATTAAAAAGAGAAAAGTAGGGTCGGGGATTCAGCTCCGTGGCACCGCACCTGCCTCACAAGCACAAGTCCTGAGTTCCATCCCCAGTACTGAAAAAAAAGAAAAGTCAACAAAACCAAAAACTGATTCTCTGAAAAGATCAATACTGGCAAACGTTCAGTTGACTAACCAAGAAATAAAGATAAAAGATACATTACTAAAATCAGAGGTAAAAAGGACATTACTGGGCCGGGGATTTAGCTCAGTGGTTTCACTGCCTGCTACGCAGGCGCAAGGACCCGAGTTCGATCCCCAGTACCAAAAAAAGGACATTATTACCTACTTCACAAAAATAAAGATTACAAATGAATTTATTGGGCCTGGGATTTAGCTCAATGGTTCCGCTGCCTGCCTCACAAGCTTGAGGTCCCTAGTTCAATCCCTGATAACAACAACAACAAAAAATTATGAACAACTGTATGCAAATGAATCAGACAATACAGAGAAATGGACAAAAGTCTAGAAATAAATACTACCAAACTTACTTAAAAGCTGAACAGCCATAAAATGAGACATTTATTTTACTAGTTTAAAAAAAGCTACTGTTGGGGCGGGGATTTGGCTCAGTGGTTCTGCTGCCTGCCTCGAAAGCTCAAGGTCCTGAGTTCGATCCCTGGTACCAAAAGCCAAATCCAAAACCAAAAAAAGCTACTGTTGAAGAAAAATCCATGCCCAGGTGGCCTCACTGGTTAAATTCTACAAAACATTTACAGAAAAACTAATACCATTTTTATAATCTCTTTCAAAAAGTAAAAGAAGAAATCTTTACAACAAATTCTGCATGCAGCCCAATAATTGCCTTCCTACCAAAACCAGACAAACATCACTAGAAAACTACTTCTGAATAGATGCAAAATCCTTCAACAAAATACTAACTAAATTCTGCAACACAATAAATGTAAGATTGGTTTAGCGGTAAAAAGAAAACATCAATTAACATAATAGAGTACACTGTATTAATTTTTTCAAAAGAATTCTTTGTTTACACTAATTAAGACCCATTCAAATTTCCTTAAATTTTTAAAACTACTACATAATGCAAATAAAAAACACAAATCGATGGGTCACAACTGTGGGTATGTTCCAGATTAAATGAGGATACAGAAAAATGTAAGCACAACACTGTTATCTACTCTAACTGGCTCCTGTACTGGAGGAAGGTAAGGGTCATTACTGATTCAAATGACCCAAATATAATACAGACTGTAGATCATGCAAAAGTAAATCAATACTAAATTTATTAAAATTAAAAACTCTAGGGCCAGGGATTTAGCTCAGTGGTTCCGCCGCCTGCGTCACAAGCACAAGGACCCAAGTTCGATCCCCAGTACCAAAACAAACAAACAAACAAATCAACCCTCTACTGTAGTTCTATAAGAGCATGTCCCTACTCTTAGGATGTATACATTGATAATTTTAGGAGGGTTATAATATAGTACATGCAACTATTCAAGGAAAGAAAAAAGAAAACATAAAATGCTAATAGGTAAATCTGGGTAAAAGAATTAAGTTTGAAATTACTTATGACTGTAGAAAAGCCAAAATATTCATAATTTATAGAAATCAGTATTTTTTACACTCTTTTTATAAGACCAGTAAGATAGATACTATCATAAAGATATGGGCTTCAGTTTTTACTTCCTTTTAAGGTCAATGCACAAGCCTATTTTATAATGTATCAAATAGATTAGATTACATGAATGAATTCTGCTAAGGAATAAAACACTTAAAATACAACTTATTTTTTAATAATAGGCTTTATAATTTTATCTCATTAATGTATATCCACTTGTAGTCACATGCAGAATTTTGATTGCTTTTTAGTTTCTAAAAACAAAGACTATACAGGTTTAGTATATTATCTTAAATCCCTGGAATCAGAAGTTTTTCAAATTTTTTTCGATTTGGGGATATCTGAATACAAAATGTGCATGGGATCAAATTTAAGCAGGAAGTTCATTTATATACACCTTACATAGTCTAAAGGTAATTTGGGGCAAGAATTCAATAATCTTATGCATGAAACAGTTTCAAGACATGGAATTTCCCACTTGTAGCCTCAGGTCAGCATTCAAAATGTTTGGATTTTGGAGTATTTCATATTTTGAAATTAGGAATGCTCAACTTGAATTGTTTGGCATATTCCAAACATAACTTTAAGACAGTTTTGTATTTCTCCTTTCATTCTCTCAACTGCATCTTCTACTGTTTTCTCCATGTTTACCAAAGAGCCTAATTTCTGAGTCAAAAGTTTATAAAATGCTTTACTGCACAGCATAAACTGTATTACTGATACATGTACAGGAGATTCTCTTCTGAAGAATACTGTGGAACGGGGTGGGCATACAATATGAACATCACTAATAATTACTGTATTTATGATTATAATACCAACTCTGGGTTCTTAGTTCCTCTTCTAAAAAGAGCAATTTATTGTGACCCTATAAGAACCTAACATTCTATTACTCACTCCTGGACTTTACGCACTTATAATGAGACAGTACATGGAACTCTAATTGCAAAATAGTGTGCTCATTCGCTCCCTGCCTCCATGCCTTTTCATTTACTGTTCAACTCCAAATGTCCTTCTCTACCTCACATTCTCTTGCCTAAAGTTGCCATCAATCTATAATAGTTGTACCCTACCTTCCTACATGTTTTTGAATATAATTCTACTTCTTTCTGCATTTAACTGCTGTGATGATTATTTGTGGACCCACCTTTTCTACTAAACCGTCAGTTCCTTAATGGCAAACAATCTCCAAAGTTCAGCATTGAGCAACCAAGCTTACACTTGCTAAGTACTTAGCATGTACTTGGTCAGCTATCGTCCAAAGTGCTATATGTCACATTAACTCATGTAATCCTTACTAAACTGTAACTACTAAACCCACTTTAAAGATGAATACCCTATTTTTAAAGTATTACCCAATCAGGGTAAAGCACGAACAGTGTCCAATTTTGACCGGGACATGTCTTAAGAGTTCCACTTTAACCTACTAGGTCACTCTACGACATATGCTCATTACCTGTAACAACAGATCATGTCTATTATACGCTGTTCCAACATAAGCTGCATCACTATTAAGATACCAATATTAAGAAACTCCTCTAGTCTGGGATATCAAGACTGGTCTCTCTAGCCCCAGATTAGCCAATTTAAATCATCTCCGTTCTTTTCTGTGAAAGATAAACTCCCACAAATAACCTGGAAGAGTTAGGAACAGGTAACACTACTGTCAATCTTTTCAACAAATTCATCTTCAGGACAGAGACCACGTAGCATAAGAGACTGGATTCTGACCACGGGGTTCTGATACCTAAAACATATCTAAACGAAAGGTCTTTTCATCTTATGGGATCTCAAGTTTTCTCGTATATAAAAGGAGGCTCCTTCCCCTATCATCGAGTACTTTCGAGAATGAAACGAGTTGCAAACCACGAGGAACAGTGCCTAGCTAGTAGATAATAAGCCTCTTCAAGTGCTGCTGCTCAAGCGCTGAGTGGCTCTTCAAAGAAATAGAAACGAAATGTTTCCTGGACACTCAAAAACCTTCCGTCTCAATCTGTCCTACCTCCCAGCAGCTACCTTTCACTATTTTGCTACCCAATTCTCAACTTGTGCAAAAATGATCTGCAACGGAACTCCTAGCTCAGCGGAGGACTTTCGGTCCTGCTTTCAAAACCCGGGATTTTAAGCTGTCCTTTAGGGTGCAACTCAATGCTCACCTCCCCTACAGCCCACGAAGCCCCGGACAAACAATCCCCTCCCCGCACATTTCCGCAGCACTGGCGCTTCGCCCAATCCACCCCGCTGGGCAGCCTAAGTTCCAGCGGCCCCGAAAGGTCTTAGGAGTCTGTGGGTGGGGGCGCTTCCCCCCTTTCTTTGTGCCAGCAAACACGCACCGTGGAACAGACGACATGCTGCAGCTACAGAAAAGTTACCCGAAGACGAAAACCCTGACCCGCGAGAGAGCCCCGCGCCGCTGCTTTCCGGAGGGGCAAGTGCTGGACGCTAGACCGGGGCGCGGGGCCGCCCAGAGGCCCGGAAAGGGACTACTACTCTACTCCTCACCTCCTCCTCTTCGTGCTCCTCCTCCTCCCCGGCGGAGCTGTAGGCCTCCCAGGGGTGACGCGGGGGCATCCGGGGCGTCACCTCCTCCTTCCCTCCGCGCACGGGGGCGCGACGCGCGGACCCAGGACCGGACCGGCCCAGGAGGGAGAAGGGGGGCCGGGCCGGGGGCGCGGGGCGCAAGCGGGACACACGGCTGCGGCCGGGGTCGTCAGCGACTCAGTTCCATGACGACCCCGGGCCTGAGGCCGCCGCCGCCGCCGCCGGTGCCCCGGTGAGGAGGGGGCTCCCTCTCGCCATAGGGCAGCGGGGGCAGGGGAGAGGCGGGGGGTGAGACCGGCTCGGCCCCTGCCCGGGGGAAGCGCCTCCGAGGGGAAATGGTGGAAGGGGGAAGGGGAAAAAGAAAAGAAAAGGAAGGGGGAAGGGGGGAAAAAAATAAGAAAAAGGCGAGAGCGAGGCGCCGCGGCGTCCGCCCGCGGGAAGGCTGGGGAGGGGAAGGAAGTCCGGCCGCCTGGCCCCGCCCTCGCGGACCGATCTGGCCCGCTCGCTCATTGTAAACAACAGAGAACCGACCTCTCTCCCGCCTCCTTTTCCCCTTCCCTCCGCCTTCGCGACCAGCGAACGTAAAAAGATGTCATTGGGCTGTCCGGCAAGGACCAGGAAAGTCGTGAGCACTGGGGAGGAAAGAGGAAGGACAGTGTCCTTGGAGAAAATAGACCAAAGGTGCGCGGACTCGTTTCCAGAGGAGCGGAAGGATAAGTCTCCCGCGGTGACGTCATTCTCTTCTCCGCTGGCTTCGAGAGGCGTGCGGTGGCCGGAGAGTGCGCTGCGCATGCGCCCCGGGGAAGAAAGGAGCGAGCGAGCCGGGTTTGGGGGAGGGGACCTCGGTGGGCTGATGTTTTTGACCCTTTGCCGCTGGGCTCCTCGGGTTCTCCAGACCCAACAGGCCTCCGAGCTTGTAGAAGGATTTATTTGAGAAGGGGCGGGCGGGCTGTTGTATAAAGCTCTTGCTTTCTTTGTTGACACTGCAAATAGTTCTGTTTTCTTACAGTTGATGTGTGATTGGTTTTGTACGTTTCCCGGCACCTCGAGTGGGTGAGGGGCTTTCACAGTGCTTTGGCATCCAGAATGCTGCGGTCGTGTCCTCTGTGCTGGAGTCGCCCACGGCTGCCAGCGCGGCTGAGGGTTCGGGGAGGGTTTTAGTATTAGAACTGTAACGAGCGTGAAGCAACAAAAAACGTTTTATGTGGTGTTCTTTCACTACAAGTGAAAATTTTTGGTTATCTTTCTAATTGCTGTTAAAAATAGTCTTTAAAAAGGTTAGGAAGTGAAGAAGGGGAAAACCTTAAACTGCGCCATTTATAGAAGTAGCCTCCTTTGTATTTTCCATTCTTTTTCTTTATGCCTATTTTAATAGTCACTGAAAAAATAAGAACAGTGTTGAGCTTATTCAGCGGCCAGACGCTGGCAAAGTCGAAATAACCAAGACTGAAATAGCTCCTGCCTTGAAGGAGGTAACAGTCCAAGCATTGAGCTAATTATCAGTATCTCAGTTACCCAAAGCATTGATTTGTTTACTTGTGCATGTGCACTCTCTCTAGAATACAAGGTCACAGGTGTCAGGGATCGTTACTGTGCATGTAAAAAGGCCCTCTATTTGATTACTGACTGAATAAACAATTACCAGTATCATAAGTATTAAGACAGAAAAATACAGGCTGCTATGGAAACACCTCTAGCCTAGTTTGGTTTATCAGAGAAGGCCTCTCTGAAGTGACATTTAAGATGAAACTTGAAACCACTGAGCAAAGAAGTGGGCAAAGAATAAAACAGTAATGGGCCGGGATTGGCTCAGTGGCATGGGGCCTGCCTCGAAAGCCCAAGGTCCTGAGTTCGATCCCCGTTACCGCAAAAAAAAAAAAAAAAAAATACTGGCAGAAGACGCAATATGTATAGAAGCTCTGAAGCAGACATTCTAAAACTCACCAGAAGCCAGTGTGCTTGGTCCTTAGAGAATTGAGGGAGACAGACATCAGGCCAGAAAGGAAGGCAGGGGATAGATTGCATGGGATGGTAGGGAATGGGAAGCCCCATGAGAGATCCTGCAAGGATTTCAAGTAGGCTATATTTGTATCCTGTTTTCACTTCATGCGGCCTTTTTCTGTATTCATGGTCTTCATTTTACATAGTCAACATTTTTCTGGTAATACTCTCAAGAGGAGAGCACTTCTGTATAGTACTGAGGGTGTAGCATAATTTCATTGTTGGAGCATGCAATAGGGCTAGAGGTGTAGCTCAGTAGTAATGCACTTGCACAGAATGCACAAGAGCTTTTTGATCAGCAGCGCATGTGCACGCATATGCACAGGATTATACAAATTTTACTCCTAGGTGTGTACTTAAATGAAAATATATGTCCGTGTAAGAATTCATATGCAAATATTCAGTAGCATTATGAACATTCACAAAATGTGTAACAACCCAAATACCCATCACTGTGGTTTGAATATGCTTTGTCCCCAACAAAACCTGTATTGAAACCAGTTCCCCAAGGTGACAGTGTTGAGAAGTGTGGGGTCTTTGAGAGAGATTAATGGGTTTCTTGAGAGACTGCATTAGTTCTCACAGGACTGGATTAATTCTTGAAAGAGCAAGTTGTCACAAAGGGAGTTGTTTTCTTGGTAGGCTCTTTTTACTCTTGCCATGTAATTTATTCCACTCTTTCACAGGCACCCAGTTTTTCTCCCACCATGAGGTCTTCCTTTCTAAGCCAACCAAATGCCAGCACTGTGCCTTGAACTTCTAGAACTCTGAGCCAGATTAAACACCCTTCCTCTTTCTTTCCACAAATTACCCAATCCCAGGTATTTTGTTATAACAGAAAACTAGGACATGCATCAGTCAATGATTGCATAAATCAAATGCAGCATATTTATTCAATGGAACATTACTTGGCCATGAAAAGAAAGTACAGGCATGTGCTATAACATGGATGATCTAAGAGAAAGAAGCCAGTCACAAAAGACCATATACGTGGTTCTATTTCCGTGAATGTTAAGAACAGGCAACTCTGCAGAGACAGAGAGTAGATAAGAGCAATTGCTTAGAGGTGGGGCCAGACATAGGATTGAGAGGTGATAGCTAAAGGATGTTGGGTTTGTTTTTCAGGTGATGAAAATGTTCTCAAATTGGTTGTGGTAATGGTTATGCTGAATATATAAAAAACCAGTAGGGCCGGGGATTTAGCTCAGTGGTTCCGGCGCCTGCCTCACAAGCGCAAGGTCCTGAGTTTGATCCCCAGTACCAAAAAAAAAAAAGTTATAATAACAAATATTAAAGAATAAAGGAAGTTTACAAAAAAAACCAGTGAGCCAGGTATGGTGGCACATACCTATAATCCCAGCACCCAGGAGGCTGAGGCAGGAAGATCACCTCAAGTTCAAGGCCGGCCTGAACTACATACAGAGATCCTGTCTATAAGTAAACAAACAAAAAGCCAGTGGACTGAAAACTTTAAATGAATGAATTGTATGTGAATTAAATATTCGTAAAGCTGTTACTTTAAAAAATAGAAAAATTTATTTATCTTTTTGTATAACCTTTTCTGGTTATTTTTGGGTCCAATATTATTTATATTTTGGTGGCTTCAAATGAATACTGAATTGCCAAATTATTTGGCATGAGGACTGAGCCAATTAAAATATGACCAGGAGTATTTAAGAGCTCCCATTTAATTATATACTTATATACTTACTCTTTTTGAAGTTTGGGTTTATTTAGAACTGTTTTGCTGTCTGGAAAACTACCGGTGACAATTTAATCCACAATCTAAATATAATTACAAATAATAGGTCAGTAAGAAGCTAGTTGTCCAAAGAAAAAATATTTTTTCACTATTCATTTGTAAGACTTTAACTCAACATCTTTTTTCTTAATGTATTTATTTTTTAGCCAGGTGTGGTGGCACATGCCTGTAATCCTAGCACTCAGGAGGCTGAGGCAGGAGGATTGTCAGAGTTCAAGGTTAGCCTGGGTTTTGTAGTGAGTTCAAGCCCAGCCTGAACTACATAGCAAGACCCTGTGTCAAAAAACAAAAACATACAAAAAAACCCTTCTTATAATGAATTCTAGTTATAAAAATGGAAAGTTATGAAAGCCCCTCTAAAAATAAATAAGGCATATAAAAAAAGATTAATCTCCAGGTAGTGGTAAGGAATTTATGTTTTTTAGGAATGTTTCTCTTTTATCCTAAATAGTAAAATTAGCCATTCTACGTGCCATTTGAGAATAATAACTATACTGATGACTAATTATGTAACAGGCATTTAAGCACTTTTATTGTAGTCTCTTATTTTTAAAATTCCCACTGTTGTCCTCCACAATGGGTTTTTAAAAAATTGTCCCCATGTTACAGAAGATAAAGAGGTAAAACATATGTCCAAGATTGTACCCCAGGATTCAAACACCACTTTCTTGACCCCAAAGCATGTAGCATTTTCAGCCACTACTCTTTACTGTCTTGCCCTGTGGATGATAATGCCTTGCATCAAATTCTAGAACAAAAATACCCCATGGTTATTTTTGACTTGTCTTTAATCTTAGAACAAATATTTTTTAACAATTTTAGTAGTTATTTGTATTTCTAAAGAGTTGATTTTTTTTTTTTTCGTGGAGAAGGGGTTATTAAAATTCTTACACTTGCTTAATTTCATGACTGGATTAGTTCGAATCTTGAAATGAAAACATACCTGGCTTCAAATGCAGAATTGTAGAGTAAGGAAACACCTGTGAAACTGCTATCTAATAAGGGCTTCCAAAATCCAAAGTCTTGTAAAGTGAGACCTTTTCAGAAGCCTAGGACTGCTGAAGGGAACCAAATTGGTGAGTGCAAAGTGGCCTGCTCTCCTTAGTTTTTCAAGGAATATAATCAGAAATCCAGTGCTTTTCATGACTAAAGAAAACAAGACAGTGTAATTGTTAGTGATAGAAATTTCCAGTCGTCTTTGTCCTAAATGAACTTTTAAAATAATGTTTCCACAAGGTGCTATCTTGTGGGAGAAATAGTACTGCCTACTGGAACATAGGAAATGATTTAGACATTATAATCGCTTATCTTTAGCATCTGCCTACACTTAAGGAGTCTAGTAACAGCTTCCAAAATATTTATTTTCATTTATCTCTACAGAGACAGATCACTTCCCGGCCTTTTGGCTAAGATCAAGTGTAGTACAGAGACAGACTGTAGGAGGAATAAACCTCCCCAGTCAACCATCATAATATCAAGAAAAGAGGAATTCCCATTCATTAGACCAATAGAAACACTTCCTATATAATATGAAGGGGGGAAAGGTTCTTAGAGAAAGCTTTTCAAAATCAAGCTGCTTTCCAGGCTTTGGAAACTGTAACTGTAGACTGGCTTTAGGCTTCCATTGTATGGGTACTTTTTATTTTATTTTTTTTTTGGTACCGGGGATCAAACTCAGGTCCTTGCACTTGTGTAGCAGGCGGCGAAA